TTCGACTATTTGCATTTTGCTACATTTAAATTTACTAAGCCATAAATGTTCGTAATTATTACTCCTACGTAATACTCTGAAATTCTATAGCGTAAACTTTCGTAATTATTACCCTATGTAATACTCTGAACTAATCGTAAGTTTTTCGTAAGTTTACGCTCGCATAAAAACTTACAGAGTTTTACATATATTTTTTTTTGCTAATGATTTAGAGGATTATTTTGGTAGTTAAATCATCCAAATTGGTATAGTAGATCAAAAGTTATTTAATATTAAATTTATATATAATTTTAATTAAAATTTTTTATAATTTTGGCTGAAATTATCAAATTCTGGCCAGAATTATACCTAACACTTTGGCTAACCCACTCACCTACCAAAAAATTAGCTGATTTAAGTCAGCTCCCTTATCAACAATAATGCAAGATAATAGTTTTGTTACTTTAGTTTCGGAAATTTCTTTGTAATTCATATCATTATTTTCATCATGCTCAAATAATATATCTCCAATATTATTATCTTTATTTTAAATTACTTGATCTTCTAAGAGCCATGTCATTTATCACCTGATTTTTTTTATCAGTGGCCTACCTCCACCCTTATATATGAAAATTGTTAGGTCTTTATATGTAATTTCCAAAATTTTTGACTCCCCTAAAAAATCACCTGATATTTGACACCTCCCTAATAAACTTCTTGTTTTTATAGCAACTAAATAATTATGAGTAAATATAAATTTATAATCATTTAGGTTAGTATTTTAACTTTTTTTTTCTGGATTTATCAGGACTAATTACTAATAAAATAATATACTGTTTAACCTTACAAACCGATATACACAGTAAACAGATTTTGTATTAGTATTGAGAGATCAGATTTGAAAACATTATAAACTATTGGATTTATATAACAGAAACAGACTTGGTGAACTAATTTTCTATCAGATTTAACAGGTTATTGGCTTTGAGAGGATCGATTTTGGGAGGTTCAACAGTATATATAATAGGCTTATTTATTAATATTAATAAATTTATTTGCTAATGTTAATTTATTTATTTATTAATATTAGATAGAAGGCTTGAGGTGTTTTATTTTAAATTCAGATATTTGAAACATTTTAGAGAAGTTTTAACAAAGATGTTTTAGAAAGTTTGTATCATTTTACCAACAATTATTTTTTCAATATGATAATTTGCCACAATCAATTTACCAAAAATCAATACCAACAATTAATTTACCAACAATCAATTTATCAATAATCAATTTACCAACAACCAATTTACCAACAATCAATTTACCAACAATCAATTTACCAACAATCAATTTACCAACAATCAATTTATCAATAATCAATTTACCAATAATTAATTTACCAACAATAGAGCCAGATCCTGATGATTATTTTACTGACAATTATTTTGCCAACAAAAAATTAAATAATAAATCAAATGAAAATCTGTGCAAAACTTCAAATCTGGTAACTATAACTGCAGAAATTAAATATTATTTCTGTATAAAACTTTAAATTTTATAAATTTTTGCAGATTTTTGTAAAAATTCTGCAAAATACAGATTTTTGCAAATTTATGCTTATTTAATTTTCCCGATTCATCCACAAGCTATTTATACAAGTCATCTTTCAAACTCCCTAAACCAGGTAATAACATTGAATTTTACTAAAACGCACCTATGGTGTTTCAAAAATGTACCAAGTAAATGAGATCGGGTACTCTAAGTAAAAATATTCAGAACCCCCAAAAACCTCATGAAAACTGAGATTGGGACCTTATATTAGCTCTATATTATATAAAAAAAAATAATTCTTAATACCCGAAACCTAACCCTAAATTTTATTAAAAACAATTATATATTGTGCTAAAATACCATAGGTGCGTTTTATAATAATTGATAGCATTTATTATATTTTTTAAAAAATTAATATTAATTTTAAAAATTTCTGAATCCGTCAATATAGTAAAAGCAGGTAAGCAGGTAAGCAGGTAATGATATTGATTTTCTTAAATTGAATTTAATCTGTAGTTTTAATATATTTATATGCCTTTTAGGAAGTCGAACACTTGATATTAAAATTCTGGATGGTGATATTTGATTTACTTATAATTAAACAAATTTATTGCTTATTTTTACATTGGTATTTAGATATTTAAATCAAGTAAAAGAAGTTATTAAATTGGGAGAATTCATAACAAATATCTTCATGGTGATCAGCAATTTTAAAAATTACTATTTATTAAATGAATATTAATAATAAATACAATCAACGCTTTCTGATGATTCTGAAAAACCATAGCTCTTTTTATATCTACCCATTATAAAATTATAAAATTTAAGTTCTTTATATATAGAGTTCGTTATAGAAAAGTTGCTATATCCAGATTTAAATATTTTAATTTATTCTAAAATTATCGTTATTACTTTTTGTGGTAGCCTTGTTATTTTAAATATGGATATACAGTATTTTATAATTTTTAAAGAAAATTATAAAATTCAGTTAAAATCTAGATATTAAGGCTCTGAATCTCAAAATTTCCTGTTTCCTAGCTTGATAGTCTCTGATATTTTAAAATGCAAAGGTAACAATCTTGGTGAAAAATGAATCATATTCACAAGAGTTTGTTATAATGAACAAAAATCTTTAAAATAACTAGTTTAGTACAGAAAACTATCTTCAATAAAATAATAATTCAGAATACACATCAAAAACATTTAATTTTAAGTACAATGGTATCATATAAATAAAAATGTCATACTTAAAATATATGTATAAATATTAGATTTTGGGTCAAAATCCCGAACAACGGATTATCGAAAGAACATAATACCGACTAAATTGACCAGCATTATGGCTAGTGCCGGCTAACTTTGTCGGTATTGCGTTCTTTCGGGGAACCATTGTTCGGGATTTTGACCCAAAATCTAAATATTATTGGTAAATTTTGTTATACCAAGTCTTTATATTTTAATACGTTTGTATAAGAGATTTAATTATATAATAAACTTCGGTATAGAGAAGCAATTTTATTGTAAATAAATTTGATATAGATATTTGTTTCTATTTAGTACCTTTTATTTTGCTACCTTTCAACCAGTTTTATCACCTTTCACCAGTTTCATTAGTTTCGTATCTTCTGTCAGTTTCGCCGTGTTTCACTAGTTCCATCACATTTCGACAATTTGCCATTTCGCCTTTTTAAAAATTTTTTCTGTCGAAAGTCAAAACCAGGTCTCACTTTTCATCAATGCCGAAACTCCTAAGTTCGTCTAATACAAATCTATAACATCGATTTAAAAACTTATTGTACTAATTGATTTAGTACTCTAGAGAACTTAATCCAAATGAAAATTAATAGGCTTAAAAGTTTTTAAGGAGAAGTGATGAATTGTTTTTTTAATATATTTGAGGTACTATCGGGTAAATTCTTGTGTCAACAAGGAACCCATTTTTTTTATAATGATCAAATGAATCAGGGATGATAATTCGACAATAATTGTTATGCACCAACCCAATAGCCATGCAATCTTTGTATATAATTACTAACTAAACTTTCATTTTTACCAAAAAATTCACCACTTCTTGCTGCTACAACAGCATCAATCAACGGTATAAGGAATTCATATAAGCTAACATTGTCTATTGGATTTAAAACAAATTCCAGTGCCATGGTCCAATCTGTAAATTTAGACAACATAAATGCACAAGGAAATTCTTCAAAGAATCTCGTTAGTTTTGGATCTGATTTAGTTAAATCTGTTGCAAGATAAATTATTGGATAATTTCTTTTTTCTGGTGGGCTCTTTTGTACGCATTCTTCAACTAACATTTGTGTTAAAGTTGGTTGAAAACCTCTTGATGCTAGTTCTATTCGATCCGACGTATTACTAATAGTTTTTTGAGGCATTATACCGAATTGATTCTTTAACTTTTCAATAACATCATTGATAAAAGTTTCTTCGCTCCCCATTATATCATCTATCTGTTCGAAGTGAACCCCAATATAACTTGCCAGACCACCTAACTGTATGCTAATTTCTTCACCTTTTTCAAGCAATACTGGATGATTAATTATTAAACTGTTTCTAACATTTTGTAAAAATTCTATGTTACCATTCAACTTCAAGTTGAGTCGACTAGTACCAAATAGCGATCCAAAATGCAATAAAGTTTCACTTCTTCGTTGTAGAGAGCATAAATGAATCATGTTTTTATATTTCGTATCAGATGGTGATTTCTCGTCTATATCATCATAAATCTGGTAGGTGTAAATTTCTTCATCATCTATAATATAAAACTCATTTTTTTGGTCTGTGATGTTTAAAAATAAGAGAAGACTTGTAAAATCATAACTTTCTCGATTAATTGTTCGAATTTGTTGTTGAGAAAACCCCATATCTATCAAAATTTCCCATTTTACAAATGTGTAAAGATTCTTTTGAACCTTTTTTATACATTGATTATGTTTAGAATCCCATTCGCATTCACTATTTGTTTCATTATAATGATTTAAATTTACCAGAATTTCTGATAAATTTTTAAATGTCCCATGAGGTAATAATTGTTGGCCAAATATTATTGATGGAATTATTAATGTACGGTTTGTTGCCCAAGCTAAAAATATAGCATTCTCCAGACTGACACGTTGCTCATGAAAAGAGCCATGAGGAAGATAAGCTAAGTAAAGTTCGTTGCTAATGTTGTTTTTACAATCGGAATTAGAGAGATTCGTTGTATTCAAAACATTTAAATTATTTAAATTATTTGAATTATTTGAATTATTTGAACTATTTGAATTATTTGAATTATTTGAATTTGTTACGAATTGCGACTCAAATTTTATCTCTTTGAAATATTCTGATATCAAATATGTGTATAATAAATATATGACAAGCATTGACAATAAAATAAAAAAAACATATAATCTTTTACTAGATATATCTGGCATCATGAACAATGAAGAATAAAAAAAAACGTAAATGTTAGGTTCAATGCACATTATATTGGATGTTCAATGTACTATGTAGATCAAATGTAGTCCCATAGTAGTAAATTTTTTTGTGTAACGAGGATTGAAAAACAAATTCATTACAAATTTAATGTTTTTTTAAAAAAGCGCTCTTTTCACAGGTTGAATCAATGAATTTCGGGAGGCAAATTTCCTGTTAAGTACCTGATAGTCTGCCATAGATCCGCCAAATACCTGCTGAATATCAGCAGCATATTGGTAAGATATCAACATAACAGCACAATATTAAGATACCCTGATATCTTACTTTTAGCACTCTGGGCTTAAAAGTAAGTTATCGGGATATACCAATATTTTGCTGTTATGTTGCTGATATCGATCTACCTACCAGTATGCTGCTAATATGCTGCTATTCAGCGGATCTATAGCAGACTATCAGGTACATAACAGGAAACTTGTATGCACCCAATATTTATTGATTCAACCTGTGTTTAGTTTAAAATATGGGTCTGCTAAACAATTGAGTAGAATTTTTATGGAAGTTAATATGTATTGAAGAGATATAGTTTGAATTTCGGTAAATTTTAAGTGTTTTTATAAGAAGATGTTAATTTTCAAACTGTATCTCCTCAATATTTTATATATTAGCTTCTTTAGAAATTTTACTCAGTTGCTTAGCAGATTCTTATTTAGTTTTAAAATTTTAAAAAATATTTAATATTGGTTACATTATTACACAGGCAACAATTTACTAACAATATATACCTGCATCTAATTAAATCTTCTATGTTATACTAATTTACTATACCAGATGTGTCATAATTAATTAGATCAAGCCATCTTAATAAATAAAAAAAAACACTTTTTTTATTTTAAAATTGCAGTAATTCTATTAAAAATTCTATTATATATTATAGTAATTTCATTAAAAATCCTGTTTTTCAGAATTGCTATTACATCTTTTGACACCAAATTCAAACAAAATAACATTTAATTTCAAACAAAATAATATTTAATTTCACAAAATAATATTTAATTTTATACAAAATGATATTTAATTTCATACAAAATGATATTTAATTTCATACAAAATAACATTAAAATTTATACAAGTTGATATTCAAATTTATACAAATTGATATTCAAATTTGTACAAAATAACAATTAAAATAAGGTTGATTAAATTATAATATCTTGTGATCTAGTAATTCAGTTTGGATGATTTTGGTATCATTCAAATTGCTTCATTAAGAGAATTTAAATAGTACCCAACTTATTAAAATTGGATTACTAAATCATAAAATATCACAATTTAATCAACTTTATTTTAATTATTATTTTGTACAAATTTAAATGTCAATTTGTATGAATTTGAATATTAACTTGTATGAATTTAAATGTTACTTTGTATGAAATTAAATATTATTTTGTATGAAATTAAATGTTGTTTTGTATGAAATTAAATGTTATTTTGTCTAAAATTAAATGTTATTTTGTTTGAAATTAATGCAAATTTGTACAATCTAAATATTTATATACTGTATTTAATAAATAAAAAAAATTGATAATTCAAAAATCTAGATTTATATTTATCTAAACACTTGTTATTTGCTCTTTTAAATATTATTCAATTTGAATATTTGTTTCTTTTAATATTGTCTAATTCAAATGCTTGTTCATTTTTCATACTTTGGTTAAATATATTGACATATTTTTAATATTGTTTATACATTTTAACATCTTTATTAAAATAAGATTTATATGTTTTTAAATTAAAAAAACATATATATAGTGTTTGACAAAAGTTTCTCTGTTACAATTTTGAAAATTTCAGAAAGGTTAGTATATACATAGATTAGATCGTGTATTTTATTTAATTACAAGAGAAATATTTAGATAAGAGCCAAAGTTGGGATATTTTTTGTTTAAAAAAGTAAAAAATTAATTGAATTTAAAGAAAATTTAATATATCATCAAGGCTTAAAGATAAAACTTTTAAAAATTAATATATTAAAATTCAATAATTTCTGTAGTATTAACAAAAATTTCGACTTGATTTGATGAGACAATTATTAAAAAATTAATTTTTAAAGTTTTGAATTTTATAGTTTTATTTTCATTATGTTTAATTTGTTGATATCTGATTTTTATTATATTATATAAAATTTTTCACAAGTATTATATATTTTAATAGTTCAAATTTAATAATTTTGATATTATTTATTCAAGTCTAGTACTGATTATTAACTTGAGAAATGTTTTAGTAAACAAATTTGATATAATCTTTTTTACATGATTGCCAATCTTAAAAATGATTGGTCGATCATATAAAGGTCACAATGTGATGGTTTGCTAATTTATTTTTGCTTTATTAGTTTATATTATAATTAAAAAGAATAAAATATATAAATTTTTTTAATTGTTTTATTATCTAAATAAATATTTTCAATTTTGATTAGTTAATATATATACAGTATATATTTTTTTTAAACATTCTTGCCTTTGTTTATTTGAACTACTATCTAACTATTATATAATATAAATATCTTTATAGTATATTGTTTTAGTCTAACAAAAACTCACCAATTATTATTGCCCAATATGACCTGCCAAAACAACAATTTATTTCTCTTAGTATCCTTAACTTTCTAAGAATTTTGTACCATATAAATACCCTTGGTTATTAATTAGCTGTTGTTTGCCTTGTCAAGACTATTATCTTTTCTTTCTAATTTCTTTTTCTTCTCAAAAAGCATGAGTAAAAAGAGGAATATAAAAACAAATTTTTCAAAAAAATGACCAAAAAAGAAAAAAGAAAATAAATAAAATAAAAGTTACAGATTATAAAAAAAAAAAAAAAACAAAAAAAAAAGAAAGTGTCCTGATAAAATAAAAAAAAACTGAACAATAAAAACACTATTATAACCCATACTAGATAAGTATAAAAATTATATAATAAATGCAACATTTGTATATCTCTATTGTAAAGCTTTGCCTTAATATTAAACTTATTCTTTCTAACTTTACAACCAACTCCAGATAACTTCATTTATGCCTATTCTCATCCATATCTCAAATTAGATGTTGTCACAAACTATAAACTACCTGATGCTACTATTAGGGGTTTCTTGTTTGAGGCCCAGTTCTGTATAGTAGCACCATAACCATAAACACATGGTTGTATTTCACTAGCTTGTCCAAATTTAGAAAGTAAACAATGCTGATCTTTTAAAAGGAATAAGCCAAATTCTACTTTTTATAAAAAATTTTAAAAAACTGATAAGAAGGTGAGTAAAAGTAAAAGAATACATATGGCTTAAAGAAAAGCAAACTTTTGTTATTTTCTTTGTGTTCTTTTTCTAGAAGTAACAGCCTATGTAACTTTGTCAACAGAGAAGACTGTTGTCTTTCTATCAAGATTTTGTATCCAAGGATGCACATCTTTTGTCAATTATCTTGTATACTAATGCTCATGGCTTGTATATCAAATACACAGTTTATAAAGAAGTCCCAGAAGAGAAAACTATTAACCTCTAGACAAACTACTACATTAGGCTATAACTCTCTAACAAAAATTCTGCTTTTCTTCAGTAGGAATTTTTGGTTCAAATGATTATTGGAAAGAGTTTAATTGCTTTGATTAATTAATATATATATATATTTTTTAATATTTAAGATAAGACTTACTTTTATCTTTATTAAACTTAATGAAAACTTTTTACATAATTGAAAAAGGTTTTAAATTTTAAGACTAGTACTAAAAATAAGAACTTAGACATCTAGAAAATCTAAAAGATTAATTTAGATATTTATCTGTAGCCTAAACCTACCAGAGTGGCCAAAGCTTATCTAGAGTTGAAATAAATTAAAAATATATAAAGAATATATGCAGTATTTAATCCAGTTAGTATATTAAGATGATACTTTTAAAAAAGATATTTGGAGAGTAGTATTAAATGTGTCAGAAGTAGAGAGTGTGTTACTAGAAAGTGCTAGTGTTGGAGATAACTGAGGTTGTATTGGCTGAGGTTAGGGTCTTGAACTACAATAAGTAATCCAGATATTTGAATACAGTTGTTTGTTGATATAAAGAAGAAATTGTATAGAGATTGAGTTGACTGCTTAGTTGGATATAGTAAATTTATGTATTATATGTATAATATCAAGTGAAATGAAACCAGAAAGTATAGATAAGATAGAACGTTTGTTAGGAAAATTATATATTAAGAGGCTATCAAAGTTGATAATTTAATTGTATAATAGTGTTACAGAGTAGTAGCCTTCTTAATTTACTCTATAACGACGACACGGCACAGGGAATCCTTTCGTAGGTATA